AAAACCCAACTCTTATGCCATTAGAAAGAGGATCATGAAAAACCTATAAAAAAATGGTTCAAGAAATTTTAGTTCGCTCATAAAGCTAAAGTCCGCTTGCTCTAGCAAAAAATGCCCACTGTGTATCGACTGATGAAAAAACCTTTTGTCATAGACTTAAGCCTTCAGAGAAAAAAAAATTATTTTTCGAGCTAACAATGTTTCCGGAGTGTTGTAGTCAGTATAATGACTAGCCCCCGTTTCTCCCACCAAACTGACTCAAACTTTCAAAAAATATTCCTCTACATACCTTATATCTATGGTATTAGCGCAAATGTTCTCGGACTTCGATATAGGTTTTCCAAAAAACCTTGAGTTTTCAGAAAAATCGAATTTTCTCAACTTAGAAACATTTGTATTCGACACTAAAGTGATATTTGGGATCAGCGTGAGAAACTGCATCCAATGATACATAGCACAAAACTTTTCTAAACAAAAAAAACGTTTTCGAAAAAATTAGGGTAAGGTGATTTTTGGTAAAAAAATATTTTTTGAGAAAGTTGTTTTTTGCTTGAAGATAATTTTCTGAGTGATAAAGAATCGTTTCTAAGCAAAAAGAAGCCTTGAGACGAAGATCAGTTTCCCCGAAGCTGGTTTCTAATTTTCAGTTGTTTGTTTCGTCCAAATTTTACATCAAAAACTAATGTTTTCTGACACAAAAATAAAAACTAAGGTCTACTCTAAAATCTAGAGCCTTGTTTTCTAGAAGTATTCGTTAGATATGTGTATAGTCGCCAAAAACAAGAATTTGCGTTGAAATAGATAAGAAAAGATATAATAACAAATAAGATCACGTAACACTGTTTTGATTGTGCTCTTTAAGGGGGAAACACAATTTAATTGGAGAAAATAGGAGTTGAGAAGAACAGAAAAAAATACAGTTGATATTTTGAAACGAAACTGTTTTATTGTTTTGATAAAAGTACTAAACTAGCTCTCATAAAGTTCAACTGATAAAGGCGAAATTAGCGCAGAGTGATTATTAACTACCCTTATTATAACCAATTTATATAATATGAATTAATTATAACAGTTTTAGGCGATTTTTAATACTATATCAACACTGAAATGTATGACAAATCCTTCTCGCATACAAAGATTGTCTCCCGCAAATAATATAATTATTTGATTTATAAAAAAAAGTAGATCTAACATGTTCAATAGAAAATAATTTGTTAGTTTGTACAATCACGCACACTGAAAACATGGAATTTTATTTAATAAAATATACAAACTTGGTAAGTCAAAAACAAAAAGTTCAAAGAATAAACTCTTCTACTTCCTCCATAGTTGCTCTATTATTAATTTTCAGCGGATATTTTATATCGGTTACCATTTTTGGCCGCTGTAATTGATTAGTTGTTGATTTATCTGAATTATTTTTTACCGATGATGTTGTGGTAGTAGTAGTATTCTTCGTAGATTTTGGAGGTGGTGGTGCGAATAGAGAATCGAACAGATCTGTTTTCTGTTCTTTAATAGTATTCACTGATGTTTTACTTGCAAATATATCGTCTGGAGTATGTTGATTTGTTATTGATGATGTTTTTGAGTTTGTACCAAATAACGATTCAAGTGGATCTACTTTTTTTACTGCAGTACCGTTCAATGCTCGTCCTTCGTGTAAATTCGTTGTTGCTGAATCAAATTCATAACCACGACTAACTGAATGTTCAGAAGGTTTAGTTGTCTTTTTATCATCATCATTGACGATAGTTTTAGATAGCGATATAGTTGGTGTAGCAGCTACTAACTTTGCTAATAAATCATCTTTTGCTTGTTTTTTATTATCATTTGTATTAAATACATCTTGCCATTTTTCATCTAAATCTTTAACAACTTTTGTTTTTGATTGAAACGGTGGTGGTTCAGTTAATCTGAATACCGGTGGTACTAAGAGAGTATTTCCAACACCTGTTGAAATATATTTATTACTGGTAGTTTTAGTTTCTTCCGCAACAGATGTTAGATTTCTGCTGTGTGATATTGGTGGTTCACTACGCTGCATCATATTTGTTGGATTCGTTTGATTATTATTAGCTTTTTTTTTATGATATGAAATAATGCTGCTATCTTCATCATCATCGCTACTTTGTTCAGCAACACTTTCCGGCGAGGAGAAATATCGAGGTTTATGGTGATGAAATGTTGATGTTTCACCTAAAGTAGTAAGAAAAATACTAATTTGCTTCAAAGAACAGCACGCTTTGATAAAATCGAGCTATAACTTTTAATAAAGGTTTCTACGAGATTATCACGGATATGCTTCTTTTTGTTTCTTCTATCAGATATACTGATAGATGATGGATGAAGCCCAATAGCAAAGACAATGAGACTATAGGGTATTCAAGTTCATAATGTGTCACTTTTTTTTTAGTGCTACAAGTAGATGAACGCGTTGACTTTAACCAAAAATATTTTTAAGCATTCAATTTTAAAGAAAACGGAGATATTATTGTTAGATTTTCGAGTCGAAAGTAATTAACTTTGTACGTCTTGAATTAACTTACTGTTTTGCACAATTGAATCTTTTTTGATTTTTTTTTCATCATCTGTGTGAGCTTTATGTTGAGTTTTAATCTGTTTCTTATGAGTTGATATTCGAGGCAGATGTGTTCGTAATTTTTTTGTTTGTTGCTGCTGTTCGTAATGTTGTTGTTGAGTTTTCTTCTTTTCCTGTTCTGTTCGTCTCTTTTTATCATAGTCTAATATTTTTTCTCGAAATCTTGGTGATGTATCGGTTTGTTGTTGTAACGATTGTAACGAACGTGATTTTGACGTATCTGTATCTGGTCGATGACCATCGCGTTGCGTATAAATATGCATTGTATCTATTTGTTTTGTTTTGTTTTCTAATTTCAGCATCATTTCATTATAAACTGTTTGTCGTTTATTTAATTCATGTTTCAATTCTTTTTGTTTCAGCAACAATGTATTTATTTCATATTTATGATTTCTTTCCAAATTTTCTGTATGTTTTTCTTGTGTTGTTAATCGTCCTAATAATTCTTGATATTTTCGATCGGTTTGTTGTATTTTTTCTTTCATTGCATATCGTTCATCAAGATGATTTTCTGACGCAATTTTTTCATAATATTTCAAACGTTGTTGTGTATCACGTAATTTTTCATTTTTTGAATCAACCGTTTTTTCTAATCTTAATTTTAATTGTTTTTCATTGAATAAAAGTTCTTTAAAATATTGAGTTTCGGATGTATAATCTTTTATAACACGTTGAATATCATAATCTTGATTTTCATATTTTTTTATTGCCATCTCTTCACGACGTTGAATTGTCTTTAGCGTATGATTTTCCATACGAATGGTATCTAAACAAAGATAAGAATAAGTTAGTCTAAATGAAACTTGTGAATTTTATTAATGAGATAATTCAGAAAAACTAAAAGAGATAATATATCTCACCTAAAGCTAACTTTAATTCAGCGATTTTATTTTCCAATATTTTCATTTTTGTATTTTGTGCCGATAGTAATCCTGGTTCAACTTCACCTTTTGGCATAGAAAACTGTTGTTGTTCGTGTTTTCGTTTTAGATGATGAGGTCTTAGTATTTTTAGATTATTATTAGTCATTTTAGTCATTTCATTTGAATTTCGAATAGATGGCAAAAAATTTTCTTTGCGTCGAATACGATTATGATTTTGATTTGGTTTAATAATAATTGTTGTTGATTTCAATTCTGATTCACTACCATGACGTTTTGACAAAGTACCTGCAATACGATTTTGATTTCGTTTCGATGGAGGTAAAGAAGCATGTTTCTTCACACGATCTGTCACGATTGTTCTATCATCATCATCATCATCACCCTCATCATTATCGAAATCGGATGAATAGGCAGCCGAACGAATTGAATCAGCATCGTGATTCGATGCCTGTGTTTTACTATTATTATTTACTTTGACTGGAAAAGAAAGAAGAGAAATGATGTGGTGATAAGCTTCTTTAAATCAAAAATTATTTTTATGTTTGTTTTCAAGAGAGAAAGCTTACAAAAAAGAAATTCTATGGTTGTTAACCCGTAGGAAAGCGAATGTCGAGACAATCGGTCATTTGATTTTAACTACTAATTTTATTAAAAAGAAGAAAAACGTCTTCGAGAGTGAAAACAGAATTTCTTTTGTGTGAGAAGTTACATTATACAGAACACAATGATTATAAATATTGTTTACCTATAGAGCTTATGTGACCAACAGAACATATAGAGCAAAGATCTACTACATTGTATGTGCGGAGAAACTAGAGATCTGCACAGATTAAGGAAACATAATCCGAGCCCAAACTGACATTCAAAAAATCGATCCTACAACAAAACCTCTGAAATCATTATTTCGATCAATTTTATAAATGATCCGTACAAAACACGATTAAAAGAAATCTGGCGTATTATATCGAGCTCTTGTAGCGCAATCGGTTAGCGCGTTTGGCTGTTAACCAAAAGGTTGGTGGTTCAAGTCCACCCAGGAGCGTCTAATTTTTCATAATTTTTTTTGTGATTTAGATAATATTACGCAGCATAATTTCTTTAGTATATCCAACTGTGAAGTAATTTAGTTAAGATCTACTTTACGTGAAGACAAACATTTTTAGAAATGCTGTTTTGAAGAATATCTACCTGTGGTGTGTTTTAAAAACAGGAATCGAATGAAGTACATATGACTTATTAATTTTGGCTTGTTTTTTTAATTATATATCGTCTAGTGCAATACTTTCCGCTGCAATAATCAAGATTTTGTCTTTTCAAACTTAATGGACAAGCTGAACTAAAGAAGAAAGATCTGTATCTGTTCAAAGTATAGTTGGTGTTTTCGATCATTGGTTAAGAACCAGAACTGTACTTGGCATGGTTACCAGTAACAGTCTTAACTTTTCGATATTTAACAAAAATTAAACGCTAAATTTTGACAACTAGAGTTGCCAGTATATTTTTGTTTTCAAATACGAATAAATTAAATTTTAATTATAAAAATGAGTCCTGAGATCAAGCTAATTTTTAAATATATCCTTAAAAGAATCGTCATTGTGATTACTATTAATTTACCTCATCTAATGGTTGATGATATCTAACTGAACAAAAATAGATGACAGCAAAAATTGTCGATTTTTTGAAATCGCGATTATTTGTTAAAAGCTACCCGATTTCTCAACATGGACTATGAGCAACGTTCAATTACTACGGTGTTTGAGCGAAACACATATTGTGAAAGCTATTACTTGAAAATCTATAACATCTATCAACAGCAGCGTTCAAATCAGTTATATTCCAGTTAATAGAAACAGTAGGCATTAGCAAAAAGAAAAAGAATGAAGGAGAACGATAAACCTGCAAATAACGTCATATCAATGGCACATTAAGTTACAGACAGATAGCCTGCTGAGTAGCGTCGGAAAGTTATTAGAGTATGTCATCAAGAATAATCTATTTACGTTAACAGAACAAAATATGTGGCTACTAAATGATCAATTAGATCAGAAAGATCAGCAATATACAATACAGTGATGATCACGCATTCTGCTCCAAAGAATCTGTTGAAACACAAATAGATTTCCTATATAACAGCTGCATTCAATCTGATTTATATTAATGATTGAAGAAGATTAAGGAAGTTTTAGACACTAGATATTCCAGTGCACTTGTACAATTTAATCACAAGTTTCTAGAATATAAGACATCTTCATATTGAGCTATGGGAACAAAATCATCAGTTTCACATGTCGGAATGCATTCTGACAAACAATCGAAATCGAACATACGTTCGTATATAAATAGTACAATAGACAATATAGAAGTTTCACGACCTTAAATGCACTATTCAAGATTAAAAGGTTATCACTTAAAACGAAGTAACTTTGGAATTATGTATCAATAACAAGTTAAAATAGTATAATTTTTCTAAAAATCCTTAAAAATTTCTCATAATCATTCGAAGATTGTTAAGTACTATCTGTATCACTTACATTTTGTTTCAACGATCGGTGGTGAACGTATTTTAGTGGATAAGTTATTGTTTGACTGTTTATTATTCAAACTTATATTTTTATTCGAATAGGTTGGAGCACGAGTAATAAGCGCATCTAAACCTTGATGATGTTTTGTTACCGTTTGGTCATTATTGCTATTAGTTACTTTTTCTAATTCTTGCCTTTTATGATCTTTTTCAATAATCGTCTTGTTATCATGATAACCATCATTTTCTTTATTATCATCATCGCTGTAAGGTGTAATGGATGGCAATTTTTTCGATAATGGTTTTTGTTGTTTTTCATCGATGGATAATGTCCTATTTAATATTGCAGACGTTTTAGTGCTCGTTTGATCATCTTTATTTGTTGTTGTTGATGACACACCAAAATATTCATCAAAACTGTCGACAGATCTTTTTCGTTCAGGCATTTATTAATGTTTCACTCACGTGGATAATTAAAAATGCCAGTTCGTTTATTCTTTTTTTTCTTTGCTTTGTGTTTGTATGTATTACTCTTGCTTAAGTAAATAATACAATTTAAGCATGAAAACAGTTTAGCTTTTGATACGGATTTGACTGCTGAAATGGAAAAAAAGAGAATCATTAGTTTTTACTACGTGGTTGTTTGGATCTGCGAGAAAGCGTGATCTCAATTCTAATGTATTGTTTTAAAAATAGTGCTTGAACATATTCGGCTGAGCAGGTTGTTTGATCTTTTTAAAAACTTTTGATGTCAATATCTCGATGATTTAGATTTTTTGTTTATACACAGTTACCAGCCTCTCCGATGACATGGTATCCGAAACAGGTACATTCTTCACACTTGTTCAAATTTAGTTATTATGAATTACGTTAAAGTTCATGTTTCAAAATTCAATTTGTGCTTGTCATTTCTTCATCTAAAATAAAAGGAAGAGAGAAAGAAGTCATAACAAAATTGTTATTTTGCTGCTCTTTTATTAATCTTTCTCTTCTGTACAAGTGATAGACTGATTAACGGAAGATCAACTATATTGCTGCTTTTTTTCTCCTTCTAACGCGCTCGAGCACATTTAGATACATCGTTGTTGTCATAAAATCTATTCCAATCTTGAATTAGAAGTAAAGGTAAGAAAAAAAGGACAAGAATAAAAAGGACAAAAAGAAAAACAGAATATATGCTACCGAGGTAACGACAGTAGAATGGGAGAGAGAAAGAGAAGAGATGTTCATTCCATAAAAAGAAAAGAGTTTAATACCTAACCTTAAAATTTATTACACTTAAATGGTTCAGATCTGTCGGGTATACCATAGTTCTGTACATTTTAAAAAAAATTCTTTTTGTGTACACTTAATGCATGTAATATAACTGATGTATGCGAAGAATCAACCTATTTATATCAGAAAAAGTAAAAACAGCAGGAAAGCTAAAAGCGTCAGTGTAAAAACTACAGAAAATGTGAAAAATCGCAACAGACGGGACAGCTAAAAGGTCATGAGTATATAAGCCAGAATCGTTTCCTCAGT